TTGTATGCTCCCTCGATGGCCTGCCTTTGCATATGTACACCCAATTGTGAGATCAACTCCAGAGCCTTCACATCGGCGTTCAACAATGCAAACTGGTGTATGACAGCCAGATGAGGGAATACACTGCCTAGAACCGCTGTGGTGCCTGCATTCATTTTAATTTGTTCGGTATTTTCCTCCTGATTAGCGCTGCTCATCGCGCAAGGAGTATTTGCATTGGTGTTGGGTGCACTACCACTGGAGTCTTTGGATTTACTCACTACCGTTGTAATTTCATCGTCAATTTCGATGGCACCATCTCCCCGCTCTTCCACTTCGTCGTCATCGCTGAGCACACAATCAACGCTGTTTTCACTGCTTTCTCCTTGCACTTCACCACTTTTCTTTGCCATTTCTGTATTCACTGTTTTATCAAGTGCGGTGATTGTTGAAATTTCTGTCTGCATGAAGTTCGGCAGCGCATCTTTAAATTCGATGATAATATCTTCCACGGCAAGCTCACCGTCTGTGGCATTCGGGTCGGTCGTGCCCAAATCTTCGTCCGTGTATTTGTATTTGCTACGAAAGCGATCCAACCATCTATACGATGGCCGGAAGCTGGGCAAATTTAGTAAAGCTGCCATTTTTAATGCCGTGTCCTTGAGCGTCTGATTGGTTATTCTTTTGCGCAGGCGCAACTCCCTACAGCGCTCCACCCACTGATGCAGAATGAAACTAATTGCGCTCATTTCGAATTTGCGTCGCTTACGTGTCATTTCTTCAATAAAGTTGGTGGCATCAGACTCGCTGAGTGTGGCCAATTGCTGGAGCAGTTCATTTTTGTGTTCGAGAATGCGTCGAATTTGTGTGGCACAACAGTGGAACAGCTTTGCCAAGCGATTTCGTGAAACGCTTGTCTCATCGTAGTAGTGTATGACGGCAATCTTCTCGTAGAATGTCAATATGTTGCGCTCGTTGCGGCTTTTCACCTGAAAGTAATAAAATAAAAGCGATTACTTAATCGTTATAGTTCTGTCATCAAATCAGTCAGCAAAATGAGGAAGATAAGAGATTAATCAACTCTCCAAGGCAGGCCTCTTTAGGTATATGACCTTATCTTTGGAAGCTGTGTTAGAAGACATTCTACTATTTGAAATAAAGGAATAACTGGAGCATGCGTGTAGCGGTGTACTTGGAGTAAAGTTTAATTGATACTCCGTCGAGAACGGAAGGTCTATCGCCTAAAGAGATCGGTAAAAGGAAAA